TACGTCCTGTGTTTGACGCCGGCAGAAATACCTCTGATCGGGAGGGTCTGAAGACCATTGAACCACCTCTTATTTGCTGAAAGTTTAAAAATATATTTCCATAGTAAAAATACCAGCAACACATTTTCATAGGGAAAACAAATTAGCAGTAATACATATTTAATCATTCAAATGACTGTTGCTCCTAAGAAAATTGAATTTCGGCATTAAATGACCCATAAGGTGTTGATGTACCGCTAAAAGAAGCAAAGCTTGAATTGTTATCAGAATCACCAATTATTTTAGAAACTGTTTAATACTGATACACACGTTGCATTATATCGGATGAAGATTAAAAAAAAAAGTACGTAGATATGCATAAATATAAACATTTATCCAAAGTCAGTGATTCATTATATTTGCGTCCATCATTGTGAAATACTGATACTTTCACTACTCATCAAGAGAAGGTTACAAGAAAATAAAATCTTCAAAAAAATTGCCTCTGAAATTTATAGGTAAACAAGAAAATAATCGAAATTCGAGTGGCCAACTATGAGAAAACCAACATAAAGTGTCTCAAAATTCCTCGCAATATCGTGAGGTTAACCAAGTGAGGCGAATGGGATGTTCAGGGACGGGCTTTGGTCATGCCTGCCTCGGAAAGGCCAAAGAAAGCCTGACATGAATTGATGGATGCGAAAATTAGAAATGCCGAAGAATGGTAACAGAAGAGGAAAATAGGGGGTGGGTGTCGGAGAACTGGGTGTAAAGCTCTTAGTCGTTGAATATGCAGTGAGGGAGAGATTTTTTTTCTTTAAAAAAAGAAAAAAAACAAGAAAACAGAAGAGAGAGAAAAAAAACAAAACAAATGATGACAAAATGATCTCCCGAAAAAAGGTTGTCGATTTGGGATGCTATGAGGTTCGAATAAATCATGGGATTGGAAGGATGTCGAGAAAGAATTAAGAAGAAAACAGAAAGGAAAAAATAACATTTTGCTGCTATTAAAAATAAAGAACACATAGAAAAACAGATTTAGAGATAGGAAATCGAGAAAACTGGTTTACAATACTGATAAAGAAGTGTTGTACACAACCAATCCCGAAGGACTATATTCATACCCACCAAAAAACGAAATTTTTTTTTCGTTTAGCTTTGTATATTTTTTTTTAGTAATTTTCATCTAATACAAGGCCCAAGAAACATACAAGTTAGAAACTTACTGAATGAGGTATTTAATATGAACGTAAGAGAAAGCTGTAAGAAGTTATTTTTAAGAGGATATATAAAGATAATCTGTCTAGCTGAAGAGATTAAGATTGTTTTGTTCGAAGAAGTATCCACATAGGAGTTTCTTTCGCAGCGGTTCTTTAGAAGATGTTTTCTGATTATTCTTATCAAAATAATACGTAAAAATGAAGGTGATTCAAATCTGTTGAGGTAGCAAGGCAGATTTTAGCTGTACTGTTTTGCGCTGGTAACACTAAAAAAAATGGGAGTCTTAACATTTGCCATGGAGAGAGATAGGAATGCGAAATTTTATCCGTGGGAAAGCGGCTGTAGTCTGGAAAATAAGCCATCACCCACAATTCTGCGTAAATGATTTGACCCAGGCTTTAACACTGTAAAGAACGGAATTGTGAGAATTGAGCAGTTCCACTCCAGGTACAGAAGCAATACTCCATTTTTGATCAGATCCGATTCTTGTAAAGATAAAAAGACGCTGAAGTCGAGTACTTCCTGCAGTGGTACAAGAAGATAACTATTTTTTTAGCATCTTTATATATAAATTCTACTTCAGCTCTGGATGGCTTACGGCCAAAAACTTAAAATGTCGAAAATCGTAGTTGATAAGAAAACAGGAAGCCGCTGGAGATTTTTCACAATTGAGAAGTGCAGTAGAAGAAACTATTAATATTGAAGTTATACTTAAAACTGGCAAGTTCAAAAGCAAAACGAAGAGATCTAATTGCCAATCTAGTACTGTACTTAAATTCGTCGAAGTTAAGCAACGTCGAACATGGTCAGGGTTATGAGTCGGGCGTACTGGATGCTTTGAGCCTATGGTGTAATGGAAAATTGTTAATCGGATAGCCGTGTTCCAATTCCAGTTGGGTTCGTTATATTCACTTTCGGACAAATACCATTAGGAAAGGAATAAATAAATCTCTTCTCCCTCCAGCTATAGGTTAATTAGTCATACGTATATCACTAGATCATTATTATCTCAGTATACTTCTTACAATATCAAAATATTTAATGGCTTTAAGTAACCAGTAAATAGTTGATAATCAGAAGAAAACGGTTCGACCAAACAAAACCAGGTCTGAAGTGAACTTGACTCTCAACTGATGTTCAAAACAAGGAGTTTCTTGGAGAGATCAATTTCTCAAATGGTGATACACTTGACCGGCAGATTCGTCTCTCATATCGAATCTTGTACGATATATAGCTGTGTTCAATAAATAACGAAAAATAAAAATCGATCAATCAATCTTAAAAGGATATACTGATATAATATATACGAATATATAACAAGTTAAGAGGAATGACGAAGCTAAGATAAAAAATATATTTTTCACCTGAAATGGCGAATAAAAAAAAAAACAGATAACAGAAAAAGAAACACCAAATCAGTTATCCGGTTATTACGCATTA